ATATAGTGGTATCAACAACTCATTTTGGGGTTCTTGAACCCGAACTATCTTTTTGTTAGCATGGAACCCATATGTGTAACCAAATTAAGGGTTGTTACTAAAAATAGATTTTTTGTCTGGAAGGTTGATTTTTCTAGTACAAACCCCATATAATAAATACCTTTTTAGTTTAAATTGATAAATATAAAAAGTGCTGAAAATCCGTTTATTGTTATTATTATTTTGGACGAAAACTATTTTATCATCCTATCATGATGAGAATAGTTAAATGAAATTCCCTCATCACAAGGAAGACGTAATGTTGATTTTAATGATACACAACTTACTCAATATAGCAACAATTATTGTTATTCAAATCAGCCCCTTTGGATAACGAATGAGTACACGTGCAATGTAGATCTTATTTGTGGTTCAAAAGTTAAAATATTGATTATATTTCTTTTACCAGAAAGTTGAAAGCGACTTTAATAGAACAGAAATCAAAAGACGTTGTCTGAAATAAATGAAATTTAGAGAAGTTCATTCACTACTAATAAAAGTTAAAGGTTATTTTTGCTCAGAAATAAGCAATAATGATAGAACGTTTGTGCAAAGTTAACAAACATTTAAAATGTCACTTTTTCGATTTTACTATACCGTAGTTGGTTCTGTTGTACGTGAAAATGATTTCACATACAACAGTTTCAAAAACATAACAATAATATTATAACAAATAATTCGCGAATCCGTAAATCTGTAAATAATAGTAATATTAATATTAATTATTATGTAATTACGTAAATATAATCAGCTATCTCGCAGATGCAAAAATGAAATATCAAATTTTCCTTGCCTTTCGAAACTCAGAATTAGTTCAGAAATCGGTTTTTAGTTAGTTAAATCGAAACTGTTCGGAACTAGCTTAGAAAAATAGCCAGCGAGCTTAGAAAGGCAACTATACTATACACATCAAGGGCACCAAGACATTGCAGGGAATTTGAATTAAATTCTTACAACCACTTGCTATTTTCTTGTCAAGCTATAACCCGCGACTTCGGTAATACCTGGCCAGATCAACAATATCTATGATACTAATAAATTCTGTGTGACCCTAAACTCAGTCCTCTCCAAACCATCTTGAACTAATTTGGTTTAGGCTTCCCCTAAACTTGAGTTTCACGGCTAAATTTTAAATAATAACAGTCACAGGACATGTCACGCAGATCAATAGGGAGTTGTAAAACATAGTAAATTTTTGGTGATCTGCATCATGGTAAAATTTTACAATCAAGTGACTTCTAATCCCCATTTAATACCCTTGCTGTGTAGCAGCCACCACCAAATTTGAGATATAACTTCTTTATCATATGTATCTGCTTTAAGAAAATTTTTAAGGCAGGTTGTTAATAAAACTGAAAATAATCTGACTCTCAAAGTCAAATTTTGCCTTTATATTCATATATGTAAAATTTTGTTTGACGTGTCCAATTGCAAGTATAGGTAGAAATAAATGTCCAAATATTACATTATTATGAATATTTGCAGATTTTTTGATCATTTAGGTATGTCTTTTATAGTAAAATCATTTATTTTAAAATAAATTTTTTCTTTTACATTTATTCCTATATACATATGTAAATAATGATTAGAATAATAAACAAGCAGCGATAATGATTAAATTAAAAAGAGTTTTATCTCTGACTTTATTCATTTAATTATTTATCATGGCAATGTTATTAAATATAAGTTAAAAAAGAGAAATTTATAAATAATAAACATAACTATTTAATGATTGATAAACTATTGAATAATCAATAAAATGTTCATTAGTATATTTGTTGTTCATAGATCTTGTCCTTAAAGCTTACTTCAATCCTTATACAAACTATTGAATAATTGATAAGACATTCATTAATATATTTTGTTCATAGTCTTGTCCTTAAAGATTACTTCAATCCCTATACAAACTATTGAATAATTAATAAAATGTTTGTTCCTTAATGCTTCTTAATTCAATCACTCCTACACAAACTATTGAATAATTAATAAAACGTTCGTTAATTTATCGCCACAAAAACATATTAATGATCGGCAAATTTTTGTAGATTACGAATTAATATTAAAAAACCAAAAGAATTTATAGTGTTCCTCGAAGACTTTTATATACTGGACATAGAGATTTGGGTGTCATAAATATAGCAAATTCAAACACCATAAATTATACTGACTTGAATTATGGTTCTTACACATACATTCTCTCTTGTTTTTACAAACAATACACAATAATGAAATATTCAAATGTATTTAATAAACCCGAGGGGAATTGAGGATGTCAAAAAAAAAATTTTATTTTTATTATAAAAATTGGTGCACTGTAAATAGCACAAAATAAAGTTGCCTTTTGAAACTTCTCAGGAATTTAGAAAGGCAACTCCAGTACAAAGTATGAAATTTTATTTATTTATTATTTTTGATGTTTTGTCAAATGTTCATAATCATTAATTGGAGTTATCAAAAATAGTTTTTTTACCTTTTCCATGTACATCAAATTCATTGTTATCACTAGGGAACATAATGGGTTGGGTTGGTTCATATTATAGTGGAACAAGGGTTAACCTAACCTTAAATGTACTGGGTTAATACTCCATGGGTTACTCCGGAGCAAAATTATAATAAAATATTTTGCTCCGGGTTAGTACAAAAAATTAGAAATCTTAACCCACTCCATGATGGAGTGATCCATAACCCGGGTTGATGCCAGAACATTATGCTCCATTTAACAACCCTAGTTATCACTTACCATTCACTGTCTTTGTTCATGATTATTGTTTGTACTGATAGTTTTTTCATATTTGCTGCATACTGTGTAATCCAATTTGCAACTGTTGGCACTTCAGGGATATCCTCAACTTGAATTTCACCTTCATCAGCTAAAATTTGAAGTTGGCTTATCATTTCCTTTGCTGTCATTTGGTCAGTTTTATTAATGTTACCTGCTAAGAAATATCCTTCAAGGTAAAGTTTCACTTTCTTTTTCATACACTTTCCTCTTCCTCTTATTCCATATTTTTGTTTGCTTTTTGATGCCCATCCTGTTTTTAATTCAAATGATTCTTCAATATATATATTAAAAACCATAAAAACAGAAATTTAAATAATCAATAGCAATAATAGCAATATAATTTTTTTGCATATACCTAATGACTGAGTATTATTATTTGATTTATTTGATTCATCCTCTTTTATTTGTCTGGCTATATGTATATAAATTGCAAATTAATAATATAAATATAATGTAATTCATATTTTCATTATATATATCTATTTATTTTTACCTTGAGCATGAGACAATGAAATATTCCATGGATTGTCAAGAACTGAATGAGAAGAAACCAAAGGTGTTGGCTTGTTTATAGTGGTTGTATTTTTTAATATCTCTGATGGTGAAAATTGTAAACATTTTCCAATATGTGGCAGACATTGAGCTTGTAATATATCCAGAATAATCACCTGTTACTGGCCATTCAAAGTAAAATAAATTAGTAATACCATCAATGGTTTTTATCTTATGGTCCTCACATGCTGATTCTATGTGTGCAACAAAAGTTCCATTTAAATGAGATATTGCTGTTCCTATTTTTTCTCCTTCATCCAAATTATTTCCAACATATATATATTTCTTAATAACATAAGAGATCTATACAGGAAAATTTCCTGATTAATAAATATACAAACATTTTGTATGTAATAGAATTTTTACCTGTGCATGATGGGAATCAACAGTTGATTTTGCCTCCCCAGGTTCAAAAAAATACCAACCACAAACTTCAATATTATACCATTGGTGCCAGTTGGAAACTATAATCGTTAATTCTGAGTTGTGGTAATGAGCACCATTGTCTGGAAATAATTCAATCCATTGTGGACATGGATCTAAAGTTTCAAAAACAGCATCAAAAGAAGAAATTGTAAACCAAGCATTTGCTTGGTATCAGTACTCCAATGGTCAAATGTTTGAACATTGATCTGGTTAGTATCAGATTTTGTGAAAACCAAAATTGTGTGTAATGTCCAGCCACATTTCCCAAAAAATTGTTCTTTGGTTTCCCTTGCACTTTTTGGTAAAATGTGCATTTTATAATCACAAATTACAATTGCCCCATTATTATTCAAATCTGCTAACCTAAATTTAAATTGACTATTTAAATATACCTTTCTTGCTTGATGAGCCAAAAAATAGTACAATTTGTCACAGCATTCTTCAATTGTTGATTTTTGTTCTTTAAACTTGCTGATAAAATTTTGTACAACTATAAATAATTTATCACATGTAATACAATGTTCATTGTGCTCCTCATTGCATTCACCAAATGCATAAAGCAAGCAATGATTTATTGTATCAACATGTGTTGTTGTACCATCAGCATTCATAGAAAGCTCTTCTTCAAAACCTCCTCTCAGATGAATTTTCAGTTTTTCTATATCTGTAATTAATTTCTTCTAAAACAGAATGTTTAAATTTATTATTTTTTATTATTTATAATATTTATAATTTTAGCAAATGAAGATATACATTACCTTTTCTTCATTATCCACAGCATTTAATTGAAATATGCTAGTAAGTGTATTGAATACTTTATAGAAATATTCATTGCAAATACTACATAAACCCCCAAGATCATTTCTGTAAACATATGGACCATTTGTTAAGTGTGCCATAAATGATGTATGTTTTATTCCGCCAGGATAAGTAGCTTCAAATTTTTTACATAGTCCTTCCTGTCATCATTCAAATAAAGGATTGGAAGGTTTGTCATGGAATCAATTTTATATGAGCTCATAGTGACATTGTCTTTATCTGAGAAAAAAATTTCAAATTCCTGATTTTTTATTTCTGAAATTCTATTTCGAGTAATTGTAGGTTTTCTTGCAGCAATACATCCAGGTCCATTAATTCGTGAATACATTTTTGCTGCATTTACTAAATTATTTGAAATCTATATAGAAAAAATTTTCATGAAAATTTGATCATTGTGTAAAATGAATTTTTAAATAAAAATTACCTTCAAATTATCTTGTAATTCATGATATGTAAAATGATCAGCAATTAATGATAATATTCTTTGTTTATTATCCAATCCATGATTGTTCATTTGAATTGCAAATTAAAAAAATTCCAAAATTTATCAACTTTATTTTGGAGTTTGTGGTTCTTTTTAGATAATTCCACAATTGGTTTGTTGTATGTAACACCACTTAGAAGGTTATTTTTATATAAATAAAGCATCAAAGCATGATCATTTGATGCATCCTCTACATATGTCCAGAATTCAAGCTATTGTTTTGATTGTTAATAGAAAGTTAATAGTTATCAATTATATATGATAACAAAAAAATTATTGATATAATTAAAATTCTTACATTTGATATGATTTTTTTATAGGGGGTTACATTAGTACATTCAATGCTTTTCAACATTCTTATCCATGCATTCAATATAGTATCAGTAATTTCAAAATTTGGTGGATATATAGAGGTGAGGTGTGAATTTAATTCAATAACAGTTGTTGACTGTTCTTTCCATCCAATAAAAAATTGATGCCAATTTAAATCCAAAACAGATATTTTTCTTTTTAAATGCTTCTCAAATGCAGGCATCATATTGTTGATATAATCCCATTCAGAGGATGAGCATTAATTTAATTTTCAATTTTTTGTATTGTAAATGAATTAGTAAGTCCAAATAATTTTTTTCCATCATATTTTCTTAGGAACATCAACCTATTCCAAACATCAGTTGGTGTGCTTCCCATATGCGTACAAACTAATTTCCCTTGAAAATATACATCAATTTGACATTGTGTATCAATTATTGATTGACATATCAAAGATTTTTTTTCAGAATATTTGCAAAAAAAGGTGGATAGATAACCAGGACCTACAAAGTTTAATTCCTCCTGGTATGGACTACCTATTGATGTTACTAAAACTTGAATATCATTAGTAATAATTTTAAAAGGAAAAAAAGGCACCCCTACCTGCAATTATTTAATCATTGCTTCATCTCCAAAACCTAAAACATCTGGTCCAGAAAAGCGTGTTTTTGTATCAGAATATTTCTTATAAGATTCATTAACTACTGCAGTTGGAGTTGAGTAAATTCTTCCTTCTATATCTGATTCACATACATACCCAGGCACCCATTCATCATCGCTTGTACCTTTAACTACTCTAACTATAAATCCTTGTTGGTCGATTTTATATTTGATTTTCATATGATGTCTTATTGGAAATGTTGTTTCTTGATTATTGGACTTAAAAAAAAAAAACCAATGAATTGCAAAAGGATCATAACGAAGACTGTTATCAATTTCATCAGTTGCTAAAAGATGTCTTTTAAATTTTTGTGTGGACATGAGGATCAATAAACGCGGACACTGAGATTTGAGAAAAATTCAATCTTATTAATAATGATAGGCGACAAAATTTTATATTAAAACGATCGACATCTCTCTCATTCACGGATCACCAATTAATATTTTAAACAACAACAAATAATCATGCCTGGGTACTAAAATAAATTTTTATTCACACAAAAAATATAAATATTAATATAAATATAAATGTACGAGCTAATTAAATTTTTTAATTTTAATTTCATAGGAATTTGTTGATTAACCCACATCCATCCATTCTTTCACATTACTTACCTCTTACCTTTATTCATTCATTAAATCCTTCTTCCTTTCTCACACTTTCTATTATTCTTCCTCTCACACTTTCTTTTCTTCACACATTCACTCCATTAAACTCGTTAATTTTATTTTTTATCACCATTCCATAAAATCTGTTCATCCCATTAATTTGTTGACATTATAAAAATGATTTATCATAAATTACTACTTTCAATTATAACATTAGCAATGTTTCTTTTTTGTTTGGTAATAAAAGAAACAGAATCATTGCCATTGAAATCGCCAAATCAAGAAGATGAAATTAAATGCCCACAATCCATTCAGTCCACCAAAAAATATAAAGGAAAACCCAAACAATTTTTAATTATACTTAAATCTAACAATGATACTCCACTACAACGTCGTGGTAATTCAGATAATGGAAAAAGTGTTTTAAATAGACACTTAAAATATATGAAAAAATGTTGGGGAAATGATATTCCATCATCATTGCCAGAAGATGTTGATCAGATTTCAACCAACAGCAATGATAATAAATTCACTTCATTTTTATCTGAACAACTTGTTGGATACTCTGCACCATATGATCCTGAATTTGTTAAAGATCAATTAGTGAAATCATCAGAAATTGAAATAATAGAACCAGTGTTACCAGTCAAAGCATCACTTTTACCAAATTTATTGGTACAAAACAATCCAAATATAAATTTGGATCGTATAGATCAACGAAAACTTCCATTAGACAAAAAATTCAGGTTTCCAGCCTCACAAGGTTCAGGTGTAAATGTTTACATAGTTGATACTGGGATAAATGTTAAACATCAAGAAATTATAGGACGAGCTCGACATGGTGGCTCATTTTGTCCAAATTGTCCTGCTATAGATGACCATGGACATGGAACACATGTAGCTGCCTTAGTTGGTGGAAAAACATTTGGTGTAGCAAGAAAAAGTAACCTGATAGCAGTCAAAGTGTTAAATAGCTTGGGTAGTGGAACTACGGCAGGTGTTTTGAGTGGATTAACATTTGTATTGAATCAACACAAATCCAGCTCTAATAAGAAAACAGTGGTTAATATGTCACTTGGTGGACCACTGTCACAAGCACTAAATGCTGCTGTAGAAGCTCTTACTAAGGCTGGTATACATGTGGTAGTAGCAGCTGGTAATAGTAATACAGATGCATGTTCAAAATCACCATCATCTGTTCCATCAGCAATCACAGTTGGAGCAACTGATCTTGTTAAAGTTCTTGGTGTCATTACTCTTGATAAAGTGGCCAGCTTTTCTAATTTTGGCAAATGTGTGGATATTTTTGCACCAGGAGTAAATATTATTTCAGCAGATGCTAAAACAAATACTGGCAAGGCTGTGTTTTCAGGTACAAGTCAGGCAGCTCCACAAGTTGCAGGTGCAGTTGCTTTAAGTATTAGTAAGAATGGTAATACTACACCAGCTATAATGGCTAAAAGAATTATAGATTTAAGTACAAAGGATGTCATTAAATTAACTACTCTTCTACAACCAAACACTCAAAATAGATTGTTGTTTATTCCTTTATAATTTATTACATTTACTGCATGTAATTTTTCCATGAATTTTTAATACTAAGTTGGTGCTCTAGTTAATTTTTACAATAAAAATTACAGGATAATTGTCTTTGTAAGCTAAGCTTGTCCTCCATAATCAAATATCAAATGTTGCAACATATACATATTACATAAAAACTATACATTGCATTGCAACATAATCACAATGCAGTTAGACCAATTTTCTCACTTTTAAAAACATTATTATTATAAAACATTTGATGTGATCAGGAAATCTTTTAAAAAAATGACAAACATAGCTCATGCATAGCTTGGTAATATCCATCACCAAGATGGTTACCAAGTGTAAAATATTCCCAGATATCATTATATTTTGGACCAAGTTTGTTTTTGTTATCAGTAGCAAAATTCATCTTTAATTATTATATGAAAAATATGAAAAATGGTTTTAAAATGCATAAACATACTCATGGGTGAAGTAAGGATTGTGACCTTGCTTTTTATTTGAATGTAACATTATGACATTGTGGTTAGTTGCAACACATAATTTTACATTACGGGTACCAACTTTATTGTAAACCCAGTAGTGTTCCTATTTGTAGCCTTTACACCATGAGTATTTGTAGCACTTTTGAATATTAATACTATTGAATATTTGCAGCATCCAAATACTTTATACCCATGACTTAAAGATAGCTCCTCAATTAATTGCAACATATGAAATTGAATTGTGGCTAATTGCAGTTCTCATCTTTACTCATGGTATAAAGATATTTTGTGGCATTGGAACCAGATTCACTAATTGATGGTCATGTGAAAGACCATAATATCCTTGAATTTTTGTTTATATTAGATTACATAAAACGTTTCAAGTAATTTTTTTATAAATATAGAAATGACCTAGATAGAATAATTGATAACAATATTGGTGTTAGTGAAATAATTGATGAAATTTAAAATGTGATAGTTAATATAAATGCTCAAATAGATATTGTAGCCAAAATAAATGACAATCTGGTACAATAAAAAAAGGTAAGAATCAAAATAATTTATATATTGTATATATTGGGGGAGTCATTATTACTCATACACTAGAAGATATTGCAACATTGATTCTTCATTTCCAATCGTAAATTTCCTTGGGTATATTTTTAAAAAGCTAGATTATAATACAGAACTTTTATTATTCAATAGATGATAATAAAAATACCATTAATTCTGTAAATTGTTTTTAAGGAGCAATAAAGAATCTCCTAGCATCACTGGAACTTCAAACTAAGGTTGTGGGCAAAACCCCCTTAGTAATTGCTGAAACCATAGCAAAACTATATTAAATCCTATCAAAAATCCTGTTGAAACTATGCTGAAATGGCGAAACCTCAAAATGTGAAACTCTGCTGAAACTCTAATAAACAATTAATGTGTAACCTACTGAAACCCTGCTGATTGATTTCTGGAGGAGTTTTGGCAAGCAACCTTAGTACAATAGTGAATTAGCTAAATTTCTTATGCTTGGATTGTTTCTGGAAATTTAAAAGACATAATTTCATGATATAAATAAAGTTCTGGAAATTTTAAATACATTACATCCAAGCCTAAAATTATACAATGATAAATGACTATTTTGATCACTTTTATTGATATAACCTTTAATTTAATTACCTGAAGTTTGTATACCAAAAGATTTTAACTTATCAATATCATCAACTTTTTCTTTGATAGTTGGATGTCAATTTTTTTTGCCTTTTCAACCACAACTGTCTCTTTGTTTGTTTTTTTATTGATTAATTTTGAATTAATGATAAATGAGTTTTATAATCATCTGTACCATTCCTTCTTTCACCATTAGCAGTATGTGATCCAGGGTTGGCAAATGTGTAGTCCATTGGTGATCTATTGGCGATCCATTGGGTCAATTGGTGTAATGTTTTAGCTATATTTAGTGTTTTATTAATGGCAATGAATCATCAGTTCTCAATGGACTAGTCAGTTTGCCAACCCTGCAAAGTGATCAATAGCAAATACAAAAGATTAAGTTGTGTAACAGTTTGAATGTTTTTAAATATATGAATGATGCTTACTGTCCAGTAATATAATTGGAAATTTTGTGATGCAAACAAATTTAAAAGGATAGCAAAATGTTTTTTGTGATCTCTGATTAGCTGTGGTTATTTCTATTTTTAATTTTATATTTTGTTTTGTGTTCACATCTCTTTTTCTTTCCCATTTTTTTATTAAACAATAAGACTAATTAATGTTTTGTCACTACTTACTTATAATACATTGTTTTGCTTTCAATGGACTTTTTTATGTTAAAAGGAAAACTGTCATTTTATGAGGTTGTCTAGTTGGAAAGTATAGTTTTTTTTTAATGTCTTTTATTTATTTATTATTGCTATTGTTATTAAATTTATTAAACAATCAATATTTATATTAAGGTAAATGAATATGTGGATTTTTTTTTATAAAAAAAATCTACTTGCTTGCAATCAACAAAAAATACTGCTACAATACTTAATCATAAGTGAGTAATGAAATTATCAAATTGAGAAGTTAAATCCAGTTACAATGATGATTAACATCATGAGCAGTACAAATATTATTATAAAACTTTTAAATTCCCTACACAAAGTTTAGATACTTAATTCATGATTCTTTTAAGAATGAGTGAATTTTAATTAGTGATTGGCAGGGTGCATTTACAACATTTTATATATAGTAAAAATCATCCAGTTCACCTTACTTTTCTATCATAACATCATGTTTCCATTTGCATTTTTGTAAAACAAACATTTGGATATCAATAAACAGATTGTTACGAATATTTTTATCAAAAAAAATTTTTTTTGTCCAAGCTGTTTTTGCACTATTTCAATCTTGATTGGGGATTATGGTTATAAAAACCAACTTTTTTATGCATAATAAAATGACATAAAACTAAAAATTATATTTATTGGTTTGTATGTTTATAACATAATGTCCAATTCTTTCTCAGCTGATTCTTTTTTATGTTCTCTACTAAAATGCATTATCCAATTTTCTATAGTTTTTATTTTCGGTAACTCATTTGAATCCAACGCACCTGCTTCTACTCTTAGTTTTAGATCTGCAGGCATTGTTTATATACATTTCCTGACAAAAAATAGGCTCTTAGAAGTTGTTTTACCTGTTCAGACATGTGTTTACTTCCACCACGCTTTCCAAAATTTTGGTTTTCACAAAGAGCCCAACCCAGTTCAAAGTAATTCCTTCTAGAGAATTTAAAATTTGGTAATTTAATATTTATTATTATATTAATTTTTTTCCTATTTATAGTTCACTTAGGAAAAAATGTCTGTTATAAACAATAATAATTTATATATGGATGACATAAATTGGACTTAAATTCTCAGTCTGTTACAGAACAAGACCCATTACAGAAAAGTCCATTATTATTATCATAGAGTACCTGTATTCATTCTTTTTGACTGCTTCATCTTCATTCCCAGGTATCATTATATGGTGTTTTTTTTTATTTGGACATTTCAATTGATATGGATGGTGCATTGTTCAACATTGCACCTTGAGAATGAATTCCTACACAAATTTTCATAGGGGAATAAGCTCAGATAAGAAAATGTTTATTTAGATTTATATAATATACCTTTGATTTTGTTTAGAGTTTCTTCTCCAATTTGCTTTCATAGTTTTTCTACTAATTCATTTTTACTTTCCTTCTCTTCATACTCAATTTTTCTTTTTTTCAATTCAGCTTTTACAACATCTTTGGATAATCTATTTGGATCTTTCTCTGAAAAAAAAATGAATTGTGGAAAAGAAAAAATTATAAAGATAATAAGATAATAATAAACAATAAATTTCAACAAAAAAAATTTATTAATAGAATTGGTATTAGTAGCAATAATAAAATAAATATATAATATAATAATAGTGGTGGTGATTATAAATAAAATAATTTAATTCATTTCATTAATAATTTGTCTTTTAAATTAAAATAACTTTATCCTACCTTTACTAGGCAATGGAATAGTCCATTCTGAGTTTGGTGTTGACTTTTGACTGAAGTTGATGGATTTGGTCTTATTAATTCTTGGTCTTTTAGAGATTTCTTAATATCAAATGGTGAAAAGGTATTCCATGTACCAAAATTGGGTAAAGAATGTGCACAAATATAACCAGATAAGTCACCATCAGTGTTGTGACCAGAAACTCTTTTGGCTTCCCGAAACGTTTCGGAAAATGAACTTACACTAAGCAGAAAACTAA